AGCAGGATGCAAAATTGCAGTAATTTCTTCCCACGGTTTTGATTATTTGAAGACAAAGCAATTGTTTTTCTTGTAGGGGGATCAGCAATTAAGCCCTTCCTGGAACGCTTTGGAGAGCGCTGTCAAGAGCGTAGCGCACGGAGTCCTGCTTCCAGTACTCCAGGGTGCAGAACACCCGTTGTTACACCAAATACGAGGACAATCCAGGAAAGACTTCTCAAACAAAATGAGAATTCCTCTACTGCCAGTTTAGCTCTTCAGCTCAAGCAGGTATGACTTGCTACGTTCATAGCTAGCTTGTAAGATTCTTACTGTTCTACACCTACCTGAGGAATGTGAAATGTTTTGATATCTTGAAACTTTTCCTCTGTTCCCCTTTATCTGCTTAGGAACGTGAACGAGAGCTCGCATGCCTTCGTGGCCGGTTTGATAGGGGTAATCTGTGGAGTGCAGAGAAAAGTGGAAGTTCAAAGAAAAAGCTTCCAGAAGCTAAAACGGTAATGTGTTATTTCCATGTATCAGAAGGTGACGGTCTCTGAACTGCTTTAACACGTTCTGAACACAGGGTTAGGTGTGCAAATGTGAATAAAAGGTTAAAAACCTTTGCTTTGTGACTGCCCAGGCTGTGCAAGATGGATCGTTGTTTGTATGATTGTTAACAAATTAGATTTTTATTTTTTTTCCTCCTTCAGAATGAGAGACAAATGATGCTGCTTTGAGCCAACTGATTTAATTTTCTAATAAATGTGGAGAGTTTCTATATTCTGTAAGTCGAAAACCAAAATAAAGTTCCTCACGCAAGCACTCAGTTTAGCATTTAATACTAAATTTCTTAAATAAATAGGATCCTTCCTGATATTGGATAGACAACCTCTTTTTCCAGGTTAAATGGAAAGTCAATGTTAACGTGTCTCTTTCTGGTAGCTGGTTTTTTTTTTTTTATCACTTTGACTATTGCCTCCTGAATATGCTATGTTTTTTATTGTTGCTGTTTGGTTTTTTTTTTACCAGGAAAGCCAGTCTCGGGCTAGTCCAAAACGTCCTCCTAGTTTGGATGCCACTGCTTTTGGATCAGCAGATGAAACATCAGCAGGTGACAGACCAGCAAAGTCTCCCAACATAGAGTCTTCAGGTAAGAACTGTCACTGTTTGCCTGTGGCTCATACTGGACTGAAGCACTACCCTTGACATTCATGAGCAGATGAAGAGGCTCCTAGCACTAATATATAGAACTGGATCTCTTATTTGATTAATGATTTGTCTTAAATCTTCTTGTATGATAATAATACTCTGCACTTGTACACCACGTGGAAAATCAGTGAGGAAACCCTGCCTTTTATTTTCTCAGTCAGTTTCATACTTACTGTATGTATTCCATGTTTCATATTTACATGTATGTTAAGTTTAGGGAGAGTCATTGAGAATAATAGGTTACAGATTTAATCTGTGTGATACCTGAGTATTCAAATTTTCACAATAATCTAATGGGAGGGAATTCTTCCCTTGTCAGTACCCCCTTACGATATTAATTCTTATAGCAGGGGATGTGAAAAGAATTCTGAGATGCTTGTGACATCCTTTCAGGTGTTTGCTGAGTAGAAGACCCTCTACTTCTCTGTGGAACAAAAAAAGTGAACTTAGTTAATGCTTCTTCTATGAGAAAATTACATTATGGGCAAACAGGCTATCAAATGTGCTTCTAAAAACCCAGGATAATATCCTGCTCTTGGACTGGTCTTTGGGGCTTTTGTTTGGTTTTAAATTTTCCAATTTTTTGCTACTGGTGGCTGCACTCCACTGTGGTTTCAGCATTGTTTCTTTTGCTATCAGTTTTCTGATTCTAAGATAGAAGTCTAGCCGTACAGGTTGTGGAGGGTATATATTCTAACGCACTTTTTTTTTGTTTTGTTTTGACAGCAAGCTGACTGGAATATTTAATCGAGCAGGCTTTTTTGTATGTTGTCAGCTACATTACGAAACTTCTAAAATTCAATATCTATAGAAAATAAGATGAAATTCAAAGGCTTGACATAATCTTCAATTACTTCTTTTTTTCGTATGCCATTTAGATGCTCCTAAATGTGAAGAGACTGACAAACTCAGCCCTCTGAAGACTCCTGAGCTGAAGAGCCCTGCAAAAGCAATGTCTGTCTCAAAACTTGAACAACTTGATGAGAAACCAAAAGGTTTGTTTTGAGTAGTTGTATATTATTGCACTTAGCTGTCTATTGCCTCTTGTCCAGCGGAGTGTTAATATCCTTCAAGTCTGAACAATGAATTTGCCATACATCTGCTGACACTCATGTGTTTTGTAGTGAGGCTTATGTAAAACAAATTGGGGAAACTTATCGTAACCCTTCTCTGTTGACATACAAGTATCTGAGAAATACTAAACCAGTGATACTAAAAGATAACTGGGAAAGGACAGACATGACTGCTCTGCTATGGGATTTGTAGTTAAGTTTCAGACCAGTATGAACCAAAATGTTGAAACTTGTCTAACAAGTGCATCTTTTTAAAAAAAGAATGGAAGTATACTTTAGGGTTCTATATGCCTGACAATAAGTGCTCTTTAATCAAACTTACTAAAAAGTGAAAATAGTTGATTTATCTGTTTAAAGTTTTTCTGTTCGTTTAATCGTAATGAAGAGTTTAGTCTTGACGCTGCTAATGTTTTTTTAAACCTCACCCTTCAGATGAAGTATATGAAATAGAAATGAGTGTGGATGATGAGATGAATAGCTCAAAAGTGATAAATGAAATTTTTGAAGTACTTCAAGAGGATGGTCCAGACATAGAAAAGTTGAAGAAAGAAATGAGCGCGAGCCTGGAAGGTGAAAGTGATGAGGATGAGCAGGAAGAGTCACTGAATATTTCATCAATGTCTCTATTAACCCCTTTAGTGGAATCTGTTGGTCCAGAGGTAAGAGTTCTTAGGAGGTGGAGAGCTTGGTTATCACAGAGAGATGCACAATTTGCTTGTGAACAGTGATATTTTGTTGTATTTGTGATACCTGGGTAAATAGAGCAGTTACAAATGACATTTTGCTGATGAAAATGTGATCAGGTAGTCATTTTCCTCTGAAAACAGCATAGCGTTTTGGATGCTCAGCTAACCAGAATATGTACATCTCTTACTTCATTGAATGCATGTATACCACTGCAGGTGGTTACTGCTAAAAATCTGAAGAGAAGTAATTATGTAACTGTACCAGTTTGAAAACTAAAGGTGAGATTTCCTTGCAGTGAATGATCTGTTTTTTTTCTTTAGACTAAATAGATAAATTAGCTTGCTCTGTGTCCTGGGAAATATTTGCAGAAATGTCTATTAAATAGTATTAAGCAGCCTCAAAATTTACTGTTTATGTGCAAAATAAGATGAGAGAAAACAGATAATGATTAATGTGGACATATATCAGTAATATATCCTTTTCATCTTACCAGGCATTTGTTTCTCCTTGTAAATCAAATGGTGAAGGGAGCAGTATCAGTGATTTAAGTCTGAAGTCTGAAAAGTTCCAGAGGACTAAAGTCCCCCGGGCAGAATCTGGAGACAGTATCGGCTCTCTGTCAGAAGATCGCAACCTTCTGTATAGGTAATAAACACCAAAGAAACCCACACTTGAGTGTCTTAAGCATGCAAATTAAGACGCTGTCTTTTAACACTTCTAATGAAGCATACTGTTTAAACTACAAATGAAGCTTTTTTTTCCAAGATCTCAACCTTTACCGAAAGTCGTCTCTGTGTAATCTTCATGTTGTTTAAAATGAACTGATAGTATGCTTTCTTTAAAGCCATTTAGGCAAGCTAGAAAACATCAATACGTGATACATAAGTATGTATATTTAAAAAAAGAGCTTGGCACACCTGTAAGACATTTAATAGCGTTTCCTCTTTTCAAAGTGTCGATGCATATAGGTCTCAAAGACTTAAAGAAACTGATCGTCCTTCAATAAAGCAAATCATTATTCGCAAAGAAGATGTTGCTTCTAAACTAGAAATGAGAAAGAATGGCCCATCTGATCAAGTCAATATCAAAAAGAAAATGCAGGTATCTAATTACTTCTTAAAATCCTTTTTCTAATTTACTGTTTCCTCACTTAATTTCCCCTGTGATTGTCCAGGACATTAGCATACTGCTTAGAACTGCAAAATGAGGTTGTTTAGCATAAATATCTAATGGTAGGGAATGATACTGCATCATTTGAACAGCTAATGCATCTCTTGAAAGGATTATGCTATAGAGGACGTCTGGAGAGAACAAGCCATTGTTTTGAAAGAGGGACAGAGAATCTATATCATTACTGCCTTTGAGTTAGACGGAACTCATAATGGCCTACTTTCAGTAGGTAATACACTGATCATTACTGGTGCCTTGTTCCCCTATATTGCTGAATTTCTGGTTAACTGCTGCTTCCCCTGGTGAAGGGAAGACTAGACTGGATGTAGCATGTACAAACAGTGAAGTCGTTCACTCCTCACCACATTTAAATTACCTCTGAGGTTAAAAAAAAAAAGTGCTGCAATATACTTTTGCAGAAGTAACCATAAATTTCAAAATTTTATATTCTACTATCTAAATGGTGTGATTTTTCTGAAGCATAACCCCAAAAATGCTAATCGCAGAGTATTTCCTTGTTTGAATGTAACACTACATTTGTCACTTCTTGCTAATTATTTTTATTGCTGGTTTACTCCAGGAGCTGAATAATGAGATCAACATGCAGCAGACAGTGATTTATCAAGCCAGTCAAGCTCTGAACTGCTGTTTTGATGAGGAACATGGGAAGGGGTCACAGGAAGAAGCAGAGGCAGAGAGACTTCTTCTCCTTGCAAGTAGGTTTTTAGACTCAAGTTCAATTCTTTGTCATGAACACTTTGGTGAGAATTGATGAACTTTGGCAGTGTATTCATTATGCTACCTTGTAGATGCTTATTTATAGTTCTTCACTTGGAAAACAGGAGAGGGTATTATCTGTTCTCTCTGCTTCTATAGGCAAGAGGACATTTTTGGTATTTTTATTGTCCCTAATACTTCTGTTCTAGATGATTAACATTTCTGTTGCATTTTGCATACTTAGGGCAAAAAAAACCAACAAACAGTTGTTCAGTACTACTTTTTCCTCTGTTGCAACTATAATTTCTCTATATAGCTGAGAAGAGAACTGCTTTATTGGAAGAACTGAATAAACTGAAGAGTGAGGGACCTCATAGTAAAAGAAATAAAGCTGCATCTACATCCACTGAATTTTCTCCATCCAGGGGATCAGTTTCCATTTCAGAAATACGCCTAGCTCTAAAAGCAGACTTTGTATGTGGTACGGTTCAAAAGCCAGGTAAAACTAGCTACTGAAAGCTTTACTCCTTCTCCCATCCTCCCTACGTGTATTTCAAGCTCATTCTCCTTGGGGTTTTTTGTCTCCTGCATTGAAGTTTCTCAGAACTCTGGGCACAATTGCATTTAATGGATCCGCTTTTTGGCTAAGTTTTCAATATTTTTCCATTGGTTTAGTCGCATTCTTTTCTGGCTTATGTGGTTCAAGAAACTTTAAGGCTGATTGGGAAGGTCTTGATAAACATCTTCGTGGCCCTCTGTAACCTGTTGGGGACGAAATAGAGTTTTGTATCTCAGCTTGTCTTCTCTCTTGCTGCCTTGGTTTTTGTTTTTTTTTTCTGGTGGATGCAAGTCTAGTACTAAATATCATTATGTAGATTCTGACTGTTGTGGTGGTGTGAAATGCTCATGATGCCTCTTTTTTTTCAATCCTTCTATTAACATCTCAAAATACTTAACTTACAAAGATTGGTCTTCCACTGTCTCCTCAAGATAGTCCTGTAATGTGCTCTAGGTGATCCTGCTTTAGCGGGGAAGTTGGATTAGCTGATCTCTATAAGTCTCTTCCAACTCCAACTAAGGTTAACTCCAGAATCCAACTTGAAATTTCTTCCTCTCCTCTCTCACGAGCTGGGTAGGTCAGTTCTGGCCTGAGATACCCCAGACAGTAATGCAATTGTGAATCTTGTAGAGACAGTCTTACTAGTGGGCACAGTAGGAAAAAAAATAGTTTTAAGAGGAAGTTTAAGTGGAGTGAAATGGAGATGTGTTTAATGGCAGTGCAGTATTTGAGGGGTTTTAGATATTCAGAGCACTTTGGCTAACAAAACTGTCTGATGTGTATTTACAGAAGCAGCAAATTACTACTATGTAGTAATACTGAGATCTGGAGCAGAAAACATAGTTGCAACTCCGTTGGCAAGCACTGCGAGCTCCCTGAATGGAGATGCTCTTACTTTTACTACAACATTTACTATGTAAGTATAAGGAAAGTGTTTTGGAACTGGTTTCAACTCTGATGGTGGAGCATGCATAAAAATGTTTAAAATCTTTGTGTAAGGATGTCACATCCTGCAAACAAATATGGTGAGATCTTGCAGGATGGGTAGTTCCTGCTGCAAGAATTAGCTGGAATGCACTTCTCTCAAAAGAGCAATCTAGACTTAATTCGTCATCCATCAGCTAATTTATCTCTTGCTTTTTCTACTTTTGTTCTCTCCTGGAGCACCTGCAATGACAGATGGATTGCACTGCCTGAGATTATGTAGGGTTTTGCTTGTAAGCAAACTTTCTTTTTTAATTTCTCAGTTTTCTTCTAGAGCTTTTTTACTCATAAAAGCCAATCTCTGTTTCTAGAAAAGTTTGATAGCAGTGGACTGAAGGGTACAATCTGAGAAATGGTGGATGGACTGTCTGCCCCTTTTTCTCCTTCCTTTTGTTCTTTGAGTTTTAGAAAGTATCTTGAAACAGTCATGTATTCAAGTCTTAAAAAACAGCAGTGCTGCTTGCACTGAAGGGTACTGTTTCAGAAGTGAAAGGATCTCAAACAGCCCTTTTGGCCTGCATGAACAAACTGTATCTTATTGGTAAGAGATTAGCTGTGAACAAGCTTCTCTTGCATAGAACCCCATACAGTTTTAAGGAGTTAGAAGGAGAGAGAACCCTTTTTGCTTCAGTCTGTGTTTACCTTAACTTTTTTTTAACTTTTTTTTTTTTTAGGCACGATGTGTCAAGTGATTTTGAAGTAAATATAGAAGTTTACAGTTTGGTATGTACCAGTTTCTGTCAAGAGGATGTGCGAGGGTGAATGATGCGTTGCACTTCCTTAATACCATCTTGCCTTACAGGTGCAGAGAAAAGAAGTGGCAAACACTGATAAAAGGAAAAAGGCAAATAAATCCAAGGTAAATGAAACATGAAAAAAATCAGTATGTTGTATTCCAACAGAAGGTATGCTAGGAAGACTGCAGTGTTCAGGGAGTACTGACTAATAGCCTCAGACAATCTGTTGCTTGCTTTTACTCTTCTTGTTCTTTCTTGGAACATCTGCAGTGACAGATGGATTATGGAGTCCTGCAGCTATTAGTAGATGAGGCCTGCAGCACTTGGTTGAGTCTGAAATATATTGGAGTGGAAGGAGAAGTCTTACTAGTTCTGCAAAATGCTATGATTTGCAAACTTTTAATAAATAGGAGTGATGCCTCTGATAGTGATTTAGCATCCTTATTCTCCCACTTTATGTAAACTGGACTAGTCAGTATGCCCTAACCTGCAGCCTGATTTGTTTTAAAGGTTCTGTTGATCAACTGCAACACTCTTCTTTCTTCCAGGTGCTAAGTAAAAGCACTGGATGCTTACTTCTTAAAGCCAACTGTTTTAATAACTCCTAGGACATAAACATTTCAGCTTGGATTGGGTGCACATTTCAAGTATTCTGTGCTTTAAGGCTTTGTGACTGCGAACAAGCTGGTGGCTTTCTGGTGGTGATTTGGGTTGGGGTTTTTTTATTTGTTTTCTTGTAATTCCTATAGCTGGACATACTGTGTACTAATGATTTTAGGTCTGATGTCTTCCTTGTCAAAATATCTGTCACTTAATGAAAACAAGAAGCTTTCAGTGTCTTTCAAAACAGTTGGAATCAGTGCTTAAATCTTGTCTTTGCAAACAGGACCTTTCTTTAATCTTTACTTTTATTTGACACAGTGAAAGCATGCTTCCACCTATCCCCAGTAAAACCAGCTTGAAGTCTAGGGCTGCTTTCTCTCCTGTGCTGTAGTTCAGAGAAATCTTTGCATACGACTGAATGACTTTCTGGCACTGTACATCAGTTGCTGATGTGAGGTTATGGGTTTGCTGATACCATCCTGTATCTGCTTTTTGACAAGCTGCTTCTGCTTATCTTTCAGTTTCAAGACTAGATGAGTACATAATTTCAGTTCACGTTTAATACACTGTCTCACTTAAGCTTCGAAATTTTGCACCTGAAAATATAGATGATGTACAACAGTAGCACACTGAGCATCTCTGTACTTGTTTTGTTAACGCTTATCTCTGAAGCCCTGTTATGTGAAGGAAAAAAAGTCTAAGATTGCTTTTTTTTCAAATGCATGCTGTCCATTCCAAGCTAATGCATGCTTAAACTTTTCTGCAGTAAATATTTCTTTGATGTGTTGCATTTCTTCCACTGAAATAAGTTACATCAGTTAAAACGCCAAGATTTACTCTAATGAACAGGTAGTGGACATTCAAAATTTATCTAGATAAGCCCTCAGTAGTATCACTGTCTCATTTGCCACACTAATGTGATGGACTAATTCAGCAGCAGATGTGTTTATCTTCTTGTATTCTCTTGTAGGTTATTACTCCAAAGAGATTATTAACATCTATTACCTCTGTAAGTATGAATGTGATATTGCAACAAGATCTGATTATTGCCATTTCCAAAGGCCTTATTCTCACATGGAATAAGGCTGTGCCCCTAGTAGTAGACTCTTACCTGTCCTTAGGTAAGGTGTCCCTTACCTGAAACTCTGTAAACTATCCAGCTTTCTACTCTTCAGCAATCAGCTCAAGAAATAGGTAACAGCTCTAAATATATAATGCAGGCAATATGCACTTACTACACATTTCTTTGGATTTTCTTTTCAAGTTGTTTCTATTTAAAGTACTTTGGATCTAGATTCTTTCTAACCTAGCTTAGTCTTCTGTAGAAATTGTCAGAAATTACTTTTTTAGTAAGCTTTTATTTCTCTCTCTCTTTCTAGAAAAGCAACCTTCTCACTCCAGGTAAGTAAAGTCTAAACATCTTATACTAAGAGGAATAGCCTACACTTGCTGTCTAAATGGTGTATCAATAAATAATACATGTAACAGATGATAATTTGGGATAATAAACACAGAATTTGGCCAGTTTGCAAGCCCAGAACTGGCACTGTGTTTTTATCTGAGTTACCATTATTTATAATGGAAGATCTTCTCACAAAATCAAAATTAGTGTCTGGTATTAGATGCCTGTGGCTTACATTCTATTCTGAAGTGGTAAACTCAACCAAAATTTAAGATTTTAAACTGGAGTCTGATGTCAACAAAGTCATATGGAGTGAACTTGAAACTATGAACAGATTCTAAATATTGCTTGTGTGTGCTGTTTTTAACACGTTTATATATTTCTGACTCTTGGGAGAGAAGAACAGCATCTCTGAGTGTTTTTCTAGCTACGGCAAAATCTGTTATACGCTTGTCTGACTACAGTATGAGATACTTGAGTTAGCTTTAGTGCAAATTGCAGCAATAAGGAGCCCGTGAACTAACTCTGGAATGTCTGCAATGCTCCTGCAACTAGTTACATTCTTGTGCCTGAGCTACAGTGGTTGCTTCCACGGATAGAAGCACAAAGCGGAATATAGACACACAAATTCGGGAAGACCGCAGCATGTCACTTGAAGAGGTTAAAAGATTTGAAAATCAAGTTCCTACTGCAGAATGTAGCGTTCCCTAGAGTGCGCTTTGTCCCCTCGAGACTTCTTAAAGTGCTTCTTCTCCTTTGTGAATATATCAAAACTTCTTTCTGGAAGAAAAGATCTACTGAGGAGGAATGGTGTCAGAATGTGGCTGGGCTGGGCTGGGCTGGGCTAGGCTGTGCTGCAAAGAGTGTTTCTCCTGGAGTACTGAGTTAGGGCACACATACCGTAGTGTAAATAAAACCTTTTAACGTGTTGCAAGCTTGATTTTGTGTTGTTATGACTTGACTCTAACTTCTTTCTCCACAGCCATGGCTAGTCCAGGTGGCCCCAACGCTATACGTACCACTAATTTCATCCTTGTTGGGTCTCACAAGCTATCGCTGTCTTCCGTAGGAAATACCAAATTTGCATTGGACAAGGTAATGGAAATTATTGATTACGAATCCAAAGGTAACTGCATACTACTAGAAAAACAAATACAAGGCTGGGTTTACTGTTTTGAGGTGAAAGTACGATCCTAGAAATGAAGCATAGCTTTACGTATATATTTATATATAAAAATTATGTAAAATTATTACTCATTTCATATGACTGAAATACAATTTTGAGCTACAACAGAAAAAGACATGTTGTTATACCAGATGTTCCTTCTTCTCTATAGCTCAGTTTAAGGTGTGTTTATGCAAAGATAATGGAGGCATTTGGTTACTAATTGGCTTTCACTGACAAAAAAATTGATGCATGCGGTTAACATCTCTGTACATAGTCCTCATATTGTTCGTTGCTCTTACAGTCTTGCAGTTATCACTAAATAAGACACAGCGTGCTTTAGTGCTAATGAAGTATTTGAAATTTTCTACATTTAACTGACTTAAAAGTTGCCACTTGAATATAGTTAGGAGCATGAGTTTCATATTCCGATTAAATTTGTAGAGACGAACTATATTTTTGAAAGAGTGCTATTATTGAGTTTTATACTATTAGTTCCTTGTCTAAACAGAGTGTATTTATTTGCTTTTACCCTTAGAAGTTCAAAAATACATTCTTATATTCATTGTAATCTCTAACCTTGTAATATCTGAATCTTGTAATAAACACCTATTGAAATAGGTTTTAGGTATATGTCAGCAGCTATCCTAAGCTAATTTAAATTAATTCAAAAGTTACTACAGCTTATGGAAGTACTAAATTACAGCTTTATCTATCCAAACAGCATCATGAGAATAAATTTTTTTCATGGCTAATTAAATCTTATTGTGATAATAGTAGTATTGCAATTAATAGCTTCTGATGAGAGATGATATAACAAGTTTACATTATATTCAGCAATTTGAATTTGAAACGTTTTGGTTTATTCTTTAGGACAGGGCACTGGACTGGACTAGTAAATTGTAGCACAAGGTTTGAACAGGAAAACCATGTTCAAACTTTGGTGAACTTTTCCAAGGGACAAATGTCAACAGTTATTCATAAGAATTCCCCTTTTTGTCAGAACTTGTGGGTATTTTGTTAAATTATCACCTGCCAAGCTTCAATTTTGACTTAGCCTGTGGCCATACCAAACAGCTGCTTATTAACTTCCATGTACCATTTCTAATTTCTAATATAAAACAAACTGCTGCCACAGTGTGTTTTTTGAGTTTCATTCCTTCCTTTTACAAGGACTGTTAAAATTCAGGGTAGAAAGGACCAAAATGTACTCGTGTGTAACTGTTTTGTTGTTTGGGTTTTTTTCCGAATTTTAAACCTTAACTTTACACTAATTGCACTGAGCATGTTTCTTTTTTCTCTAGATAAATTTTGAAGGGATGGAAAAAGAACTATTGAGCTATATGTTCCAGGACAAGGTTGCTATGATCCTTTAGTATATAACTTAAAATAGGAAACTGCTTCCTAGTGCATGTCACTCATGTCTGGCTGGACTTTTTGCAGTATTTATGTTGTTTTGTTTTAATTCTTCTAAGAAAATGCTTACAAAGATTTACTAACTAACCATAAGTTAGGACCCTTTGAGACTTGCAGAATTACACTCCCTGTCTTTTTCAATAATAAGCATGCTGCAAGGTTATTTAGGCCACCTAGAGTTTTTCCTTAATTTACATGTGTCTCTTGTCTTCCCAGATCCTAGAGGAGGGGTTTTCTTACTTCAGAACAAATCGCTGTGTCTCTTTAAAGATTGCTAGTCAGGAAATTTGAGCAGAGAACATAGAAGCAACTCCTGTGCTGATAGCGGACCAGGGCAAAATGACTGGTGGCCTAAATGTTTAGCTCAACTCGTGGCCACCCAAAGAAAGTTAAAATCACTCGGGAACTAAATATCTTGTTTCTTATTCTGTCGAGACCTTGCACCATCAAAATCAATCATGGTCTTTGTTTTCTAAGCCAAAAGCAATCTGAAACAACTTAGGTTTCAAAAAGTGCTAAACATATTTTCAAAACATGAGGTTCTTATTTATATGCAATTAAAATATTTTGATTGGTGTACACAGTTTTGACTTTAGGAATTATGTAAACTGATACAATTTTTTCTCGTTATGTGTACAGGAGGGTGTTGTGAGACCTGCTTTAGTAATTGGTAACGCTGTTGTAGGCTCTGGGTAACTGATACGTTTTGCTAGTTAGACAGCCTTTTTGCTTTACTGTCACACAGTTCTTCACTCTGAAACTTCATGGGGGCCGTTGAGCTCAGTCAGTTGAGCAAGGCGCTAACAGTGCCAAGGTCGCGGGTTTGATTCCCGTTTGGTCCCCATGTGTTGCCTGATCTAGTCAAGAGGTGGCGTCCCTGGTGACAGGGAGACTGGATTAAATGATCTCTAAGGTCCCTTCCAGCTTAGGCCATTCTATGATTCTATGATAATCCACCAAGCAGATTTGTCTGTTCTGCTGTAAATCAGAAAGGAACGTGGAAACCACAGACTTGAAGTGGGGAAAATAGCAAACTTCCTTGAGGCGTGGTGTTCCCTGGTGTCCCATGTAGGGCTATAGTTGTTTTTGCTGATAAAAACCCAGGACCAATGCAACTTACTTCTATTTTGTGGAAACATTTCATTATTTTTGCTTCTCAAATGGTCTTGCAGACTCCTACCTGGTGCTCAAAACTTTGCTGTGCTTTACTTTATGGCCAAGTACATGAGCAAGCCATGAATGCTGTCTTAGTTGAGTAGGTCTAACGTGTAAAAATTATTTGATCCTGTGTTGGGAGGAAGCTGCAGCATGCCTACAATTTGAAGGCAATCAATCTCTAAGCATTACATCTATTTCAGTGTTCTCCATGGTTCCCTGAGATCTACAGTTGTATGCTTTTAACTGCTGAGAGTTACTCTTTTTTGCTTGTAGCCAAGATAAAAAACTTAATTTTGTTTGATCAACATTGATTCCATGGCTCTAAAATTACTATGTACACATGCAGTTTCCCTGGCAAACTGTTCTTTCTTTGTATTTGAGCAGCATTGTCAACCTTTCTGTTTTTTCTAGGAAGACAAAGCACCAGTGTTAGGTTTTTGTGGTTTTTTTTTTGTGGGGGTGTTTTTTTGTGCTTTTTTGTGGTTTGTTTGGCTTTTTCCTCTAAGATTCTTACAGTATTGCATATTCAGATTAGCAACAGAAAACGGTATGTGAAATGCCCTGCAGGCCACTGTTGGCTCGTTGAGTTAGCAATTTGTCTCTTAGCTTCCCTGTGGGGAAAAAGAAGGAATGTAACTTCTTGACAGCAGTGGGGGGAGCACTCCATGCAATGGGGTGCTATGTGTGGAGGCATTGGGGGAAGTCCAAGGCAGTCCTTGTTGCATGCTCCTCCTCAAAACTCTTCAGTATCAAATAACCATTTAACTGAGTAACTGGTACAGTAGTTAAGGTGCTTTTTCAGTGGTAGAAGATAGGGCTTGCCACTGCTTTTGTTGGAAATAACTTTAACACAGGTCTTTGACACTGCTTTCATTACTTTTTCTCCTTCTAGGTTTTGGGGTGGTTTTTTTTGTTTGTTTGTTTGGTTGGGGTTTTTTTACACAAATATTTATCTGAGTAGGCATTACTACATCAGTATCTGCCAAAAATGCTTCTGGGATCTGAGTGCTAATCTTGTTAAAGCCCACTTTGATATTTTCCAAACAGCTTAATGTCAAACTGAGGCAGAACCTTGCAGGATGTGGACTGGTGCCTTGCACTGTTTTTAACCATGCTTGGAGTGCCTGTTTTTCTAGATAGAAGCACGTTTCTGCCTATGTCATGTGTAAACTAATAAGCAGATCAGTCTTGGAAAGCTTCTAAATGAACTTGATACAAAAGGTGATTATTACTGTCTTGCTTGAGTCTCACTGCTACTTTCTGGCCGAAGATCCTAAGAACAAGACAGTGCTTAACATCCTTGGTGCAGGTGGCTTGTTTAAGCTGGTGGAGTTGAGAGGTGTCCAAATTAAATGACCAATTGTCTTACTTGTTGCAGGTTCCCTTTTTGTCTCCGTTGGAAGGTCATATACACCTGAAGTTAAAATGCCAAGTGGATTCCTCTGTGGAGGAGAAAGGGTTCTTGGTAAGGTGTTCACTTCAAATTTCTTCTGTGGAAATTACAGGTCCTATTAATTGGAGTCACTTTTTGAACTTCAAACATGTATTTGTAGTGATTGTGAAGCCTAAGACTGGCTTGATGGTTGTTTTTTTTTATCTTCTCTCTGAACCAGACTTCAAAATTTTTCTAGTTTCTCTTCTAAACATTCTTAAATGGAAGCTATCTTTTGGGATTTTAATTGTCTTTCTTCTTAATGCAGTTAATTTGTTATTCTGAATTTCAGTTAACCATCTATTCCTATGTAATCTGTAATGTGGGATGAGATTCTAATTTCTCTGCCAGAGGCTTCTACAGGGCATCTTGGATTATTATTATTTTTTTTGTTTGGGAAAAAAAAATTTTCTCTAGCAAAAGAGATCTTTTTTTATTTTGCTGTGTTCACAGACTTTGACTTACAAAGGAAGTGACCATATTTTTGCGAAACATAAGCAGTTCTTTCTAAAACTGGATTTATAAAATGCTACCAATACTTGGACCCAATAGATGGATAATCTCTGCAGTGACTATGTCCAGCAGGTGGCAGTGAATATGCTGTGAACAGAAAAGCATGAACATTTACTGTTATGTTGGTGTTTTCAGAAACCAGAATTTCTTTAGACTAATTGTCAAGAAATTTTTTGCCTCCTTTCCCTTTACTTGATTGAAGTTGAATAGATTTCATTAGATGCAAACATTTCACATGTTTATGATATTTGCTGTCCTGTGTTTTTGTGTACTAATTCAAGACAGTCCTTGTTCACTATTACACCATTCTTTGGGTTTTACATATTGATTAGTAAACGCTCATTTAATTTCTTCAGATTAAGGATTTAGAAACTCCCTGCACCATTAAAGATTATAATCTGAATAATCTGAAGAGTGAAAGACACAACACAATTGGAAGAAAAACTTCTGTACAAGTTCAAAAGGGGTCACAAATAGAAGTCAGATACTAAACTTTCCATTCCAGTATTAAGGAAACGGGGCTTGAAATTAGTGTAATCCTTCATCCAGTAAAATAACTGCCAAGACAAACATTTAAAAATCAATTTCTAATTTCTTTTAAACTGACTGGTCTCCCGAGTGTGGCCTGTAGATTAGCCAAACACTCTGTAATTCTGAATTGTAAATCAAAGATGACTTAAATACCTAATCCACAACAAGTTATGTCATGTTAATATGTGTTTTCTGAAGCATTCATCCTGAATCTGCTATAAGGAACTCTCCATTATCTTAAAATATTGGGGATGCTTACCATGTCAACATGAACATCTGGTAATTTGAAATAGCAGCGAGAGGTGCCTTTTGAGCAAAAGGCTACAAACTTGAGAATGATAGCATAAGCCAAATTTCTATACTGTCTGGCAAATAAATATATGATACTGAAAGAAACTTATTAGTACGTTTATTTTCCTTTTAGTCATATGAAGGGTTATCCTTGCAGAACCATTCTGGCTGAAATATAGTTGAGTACACCCCAAGCTGAAGGTATAATGCGACTTCATTTTTAAAAACTTGTTTAGTTTTGTGGTTTTTTTTGTTTTTAAAGACTATGTTTGAAGATGTTAGTGGATTCGGAGCATGGCATAGGCGCTGGTGTGTGCTGTCTGGAAATTGTATATCTTATTGGACATACCCAGATGATGAAAGACGAAAGGTAATGCTGTTCTGTGAAGTTCAGATCTGAAGTTCTGTAGTACCCTACACAACTAACTGTTTTTTAATGAAAGAAACATTTAGGCCTAAAACAAGCAAGTATATTCAAAGCATGAGATTCAAGCCCCTAAAGTTTTGTTAGGGAATGAAGGGGACTTGTCTTTGTAAATTTGACCTAAATTAAGACAAATGTGGAAACCAATCACTTAATCTAGTGGTGAAGGGGAAAAGTGGAGGAAGATCTGTATTTGATTTCCCCTTTACTCTCAAGGCTTTCTGTTGTGCTTGTCAAATGACTAATTATTTAATTGAAATTGATCAGACTTGTACAGCTTAATAAGCAGGCTGTATCCAGTTGCCTTAAGTTTTAGGCAAAATAATTACTCTACCACTTGTCATGGTAAACAATTAGACTGAGCAATCCTATATTGCAGAAGCACAGCTCTAATTATGGACTAGCTTATTTGTGGTTGTTTTCTTGCAGCTCCCCATTACAACTGAAACAGGTGCTTTTTAAATGGTTCTCACAGAAACCTAAGTTATTGTTCAGCTAATGAGACAAATCAGAGGTTCATTGGTCACTGAGGTGAATGTTCCTGTCTTGTTAGCCTGTTCTTGCAGCATGTACTGAAATATTTCCAGGTCCTTTTAAAGACTGCTTTCAAAAGGGTTTTTCTGACTCACTTAAGCAATTTACCATTAAACACTTGCTTGTTTGTTGGCAGAACACTTTCCTTCCTAAACTCTGTTGCAAACTCAGGTCCTTCTAGGTTTTCTGTGCCAATCCAGATGCCTGAGTTAAGTTTCTTCCCTGCTATCAGAGGGAGACCATATGCTGATAGTAGACATTGCCAAAATATATCAGTGTACTTTCTTTCCCTGCCAGGAGACAGGGAAAAATCTCTGCCTACTGTAATAGAAGATAGGAAAAAAAGAAATAAAAATTAAGCAAGGAAAATGTTCTTGTTCTACTTTTGTGTGCAAGAAAGAGACTTTGTTTATTTTCCAGATTCTGTTCTTGAAAATCTAGACTTGTTTCACTACCATTCTGTGAAAGGGTCAGCTATATTATTTTCATATGCTATCATGTGCAGCAATATTAAACTCTATCCTTGTTAAATGCCTCCCCTTATCCCTACTATATGTGTTCTACCATGCAGACATAGATGTATCTCAAATATCAGTATTGTGTAATGATTGCTTTAAATTGTGGAATGTTTGTTGGGTTTGGAGTTTTTAAAATAATTTTGCTGTGGCTGTACATACATCACCAGTGTGCAGCCTGCTCTTCAATGTTCCTTGAAATGGAGTTACCCTTTTTCCTGTAAGAGGCTATTTTAACTGTCCATGGAATAGTATAGTGAACATGCCTAATCAATAGCAAACTCTTCTCCAAGCCAAGAAGAGCTTGTGATATATCCCTGCTGAGGTATTCTGTAGGTATGAGGAATGAGAGCAAAGGTCAATAACTAACTTTAGGCATACAGCTGAGCCTCTGTAGTCAGCAGAAAGAGACTACTGCCTTGAAATTTGAAATGTTTTTTTTGAAGGAGTCTAGCTACCGACTGTAGAGGGAGCTAAAGCAACTGGACTCGGCTCTAAGGAACCTTACTTGCATGTTTGAAGATGAATCCATATGCTTATAAACTTTGAGAGGAACGATACAAACATCCCTAAAGTGCTTATTTTCTGTAGACTTTGACATGGGTTACTCTATCACTTTGGATTTTATTATGAAGCTCTCTGAAATGAGAGTTTAAATTTTTTGGTTGTTTTTTGTTAAGGAATAAAAAAGGGAGAATATATTTTTCTAAGCCTTCCATAAGGAATGGATTTGCTAGCTGTATTGTATGTGGCTTTAGCTATGGCTCTTAAACACAAAGTGGAATCCTTTTTGTGTGGAGTAATTTATTTGGTGGAGGAGGTGTCACAAAAATTGTCAAAATGTTGTTCAGAATTACTCTTGATTCAATATTCCTGACCAATAAACTAACTTCCCTTTCAGCATCCTTTGGGCCGAATAAACTTGGCCAACTGCACTAATCATCAGATTGAACCTGCCAACAGGGAGTTCTGTGCCCGGCCCAACACTTTTGAGCTAATAACCGTCCGACCTCAGAGGGAAGATGACAGAGAGACTCTTGTCAGCCAATGCAGAGACACGCTCTGTGTTACCAAGTGAGTGGAGAAGACCGTGAAGGTTGTGGGAGGTTACGGGCTGTGTGTGGGAGGAGTGTTTTGCCTCAAGTGATAGGTTTGATAATGTAGGAGCCTTACAACTTTGATATGCCAATGCAAAGCTCATTTAAATGCTGTGGCTTGGGGGTGGCACCTCAATTGTTTGGTTCACTTTTAGTCCTATAATGTCTTGCTGTTCCACTTCAGTCTTCTGAGGACAAAGAACTTGACTTTTTCAGAACTGGAAATGCCAGGTAGCTTGGTAGCAAGATTGTGGAGTATTTGACTTCATTTGACTATTTCCATGGGTGATCAGCTCGACAGTTTTTGGAATAACTAAGCAGAGGTGGAGACAGACTTATCTAATGCATTGGGTTCTTTGCCTTTTAGGAACTGGTTGTCTGCTGATACTAAAGAAGAGCGTAACCTTTGGATGCAAAAGCTCAACCAAGTCCTTGTGGACCTTCGCATGTGGCAGCCTGATGCCTGCTACAAACCTATTGGAAAGCTTTAAAACTCTGGAAGGAAAATATGAAGAAAATATGTATGCAAAAACTTGCATGAGCTACACAACAAAAAAAAGAACTTAAATGTAGGAATTCTGGGTCACTTCTATGCTTTAAATTTGAGAGAGTATTTAACATTATACGGGACTATGTTATGCAGTATTTTTATTTCACTTTAAAAAAATTAAAAACTTTAATACTTCCTAGCTTTTGAGTATGGTAGGAAGCAATTAGCTCTTTCTAAATGTGCTAAATATTTACGTAACTCCTTTTTTGGAAGTCTCTTGTAGCGAAGTACATTCTCTTCTTTAAACAACTAAATTATTGCAGGAAATCACACTTCAGGACAGGAAGGGAGGGGGCAAGCTAGTGAAAAAACAAGCTTACTAGACAGGTCAGCTCCCTGAAAGAAGTAAGAGTTCAGAGTTCTTGAACAAGGATGGTGCTGAAGCACAAGATCTAGTATTAGAGGGTTTGTCAGGTTTTTTGTCTGTTTATTTGTTTTTAATGATCAGATATAGAAGTTACCAGTAAATTTTATTCTGCAACATGCAATATAGGTATTTCTTGCTTGCACAGTGTCCTTGTTGTCAGAACAAAAGACATGTACAATATATTCATACTTCTTTTGCAACTCCTTGTACAAACTGGTATGGTTAAGTGCTTGGCATGTATACTATATGACTTACAGGTGTGGAATTTTGTATACAATATATTGCACTTTGGTAGAAATGAAAGGTCTTGAATATTTTTTTAGGACTGCTATATGGAAAAAATAAAAGTTCATTTTAGGCTTGTATACTTCAGTATTTCCTGGGACTCGTCGTTTGTACAAACTAGAATTCTCTCCATGTGAGAATCAGGAATAGGTTATAAAAATGCTTTTTTTTCCTTTTTTTTATGAGACACTACAAAGCTGCTATGTACCAATTAATACTCCAATAGCTGAAAGGATGGGTCTTCCTCCCCCTTGGAGGCATGTCCATAAACACGGATAAAAACAGTGCTTCAGACCCATCATTAAAATGACAAAACTTTCTCAGTAAAACTTGCAATTTTTACAGCTTTTCGCTGGACTTAGTGAAATACTATCTCGTTACTTCACTATGGCAAATGCAGTAGTGGAATACTTAAAATTGCTATGGCTGTTATATATTCACACTTGAAACACTAAATTCTGTTAGCTTAAATTGTTTTCATCCTGCCACTGTTGTACTTGCTTTTAAATCTAGTTTTCTGATGTCTTTAAATATTTCCAAACTATGTATTGAGATTTATTTTATTCAATTAAATTTAAAGAATAAAACGCTTCCTGCTTTTTCATGATGTCATCCATGCATTTGAGATACTAGTTCGTAGGCTGGAGAAGAAAAGCTGGAGTCCACACCATGTTTAAGAAGGGATTCTATTGAATATTTGTATCTCAAAATACCACTTGATTTGGGAAGATAATGTGATGCCTCAGGGGTAGCTAGCACCAAATTTTGTACTGGGAGGCCAGGTTGTCCACAGGCTTACCCTGAACTGCTTGGTACATGCATGGAGGTAGAAGCTTCACCAAGGAGAGATGGATCTTTTCTCTCAGAATAGAGACAGGGCTGCAGAGTAGTGATATGACACGGAGCAATTTCCTCTGTGGGTACACGGTAAGCTGTCTACTTTGACTTCCAAACGGATGTTAAAAATCATTAAACATAAAGTTATGAAAAAAGCCCATAGAAGAGTGTTAAGAATGAAACAGGATACATCTAAGCAAATCACATTTGTATTTATTCTTCCTGGGCTGTTACCCATTGCAGAAACTAACCTGTGTTTGTTTGTTGCCTAGGATATAAAATTATTCTCATCAAGGAAAAGTATGAAGTGTAACAGGTGATATAAGTTAGAGAAGCTGACCTGGATGGTGGGTTTGAGGCACAAGTTACTGGTGGCGACAATGTGCACTGCTGTGTGCCTCCTCCCCTCCCGCATTTCCCTGCCCTTTTAAGGGTTACCTGTGGAAAATTTTTCGGAAATACTGCCAAATATATTTTTTCTGTGTTTGTAGCAGATCCTTTTTGAAGAGGTAAGACTGCGTGAATTCAAATAGCTTTAGGTAGCTATTAGATAGTTCCTATTGTCTGAGTTCAAACAAAGCTTTAAGTTTTTTGTAAAAACCGTTTAACAGTAACATCAAAAAATACCCAATTGCAGTGTGCTGGAACTAGCCAGTGGCATAATCCTTCCCCTATTCTCCCCGCAGAAAAGACCTCTATAGACTATTGCTTACAGAAGTCTGTACTGCTATAAAGTTTGAATTTCATGAAACTATGCTTAGCTTTCCAAAAGACACTTTTTTCCCCATGTTTATTTCTCTTCCCCGTGCATTTGTCACCTACAACTAATTTAAGCACCAGGAGACAGTTAAACTAATGGAATAGACCAGGATTCATAGTTCGTTACTGCTTTAAAATAAGTAAGCTTTTCCAGAAGCATTTATTTAAATATAGGACGTTTATTTTTAGAGTGGTACTGGAAAGTGATTGATGGTTGGGGGTGCAGATCTTCAGCTGTTTTTTGCATACTTTGAAATAAAGGAGAGGCATAGTGATTGTAAAAGCTGATGGCTTAACAGGCCCCAAATTCATCTTCATTTGCAAATAGTTATTGCATTAGTTACAAATAAAGTTTCTGCTTAGAGTCTGAGGACACATGGTTTGGTGAGTGCTTCAGCCAGTGGCAAACCCTATGTCCCTCAGAGACACCATATCAAGCATGGAGCAATTGTAGTGGGCAAATCTGAAAGCTTTATTTTGGGTGGCAGGTTGTCTTTGAGAAGGTGGAGTTCTAATGTGATAAGAAAGCTTAATTTCCATTGTTCAGAAATTCAAGATGTTCGCTAATAAGAAAGTCTATAAATGGAAAATGCTTTGCTCGGGGCAATGAAGCTTATTTTGGCTGAGGAAATTTCAGTTTTACTAGCTTGTAAAACTCCTAGTTGGCATTATTAAATCCCAACCTCAAATGAAATACAATAATTTGCAACGAGATTACCTGGAAATTTGGATTCTAAACACATACTCTTCCCTTCCCCCTTTTAATTGCTACATTCCTGTGTTTTGATGTAGAGGAAATTATCTGATATTCTGTAATTATTGTCTGTGTTGTACTTGGTCTACAGTAAAACCACATCAATGCACTTGTTTCTGTCCTTGTGTTGTTCTTAATGAAAGATAGGAAACCTGCACGTGTAATAAGAAAAAAAAATAGTTACAAGGTGTTCTACCTGGTTGGTGTGCATCAAATATTATGCTGTTTGGTGGAGAGGATTTTTACAGCAAGCAGGTAGATTTCCTATTCCTTCTAATGCTAAGAAGTCTTTCTCAGGCATACCTCTGTGGAGTTGAAACTGCTTCTTGGGAGACTGGATGCTTTCGTAACGTCTAAATGCCTTGAATGAATTGGGGCCTTATTAGTAAGTACCATTCAATTAAGGAATGTATTCCCTTTTGGTTTCCTCAAGTAGGTGACTTGAATATTTACTTAAATGTTAGCAGCTGTCCCAAAGGAGTTTCTAGCTTAATAAAAGATGCGGATTGACTACTCTTCTAGAGAGGGGGAAAAAAAATAAAATGTAGGATAGGAATAATATGTGCTTCAATTAAAATAGTATTAGCCAAGTCATCTTGTGCCTATTCAAAATCCAGAGTGGATGCACCTATACCTGTGACCAGTGCTTTAAGGTCTATATGCAGCCAGGGCATCTTCTCTGTTTTGGACCTCAGCTTAGGAGCTGGCTCATGGGTGATGATGTGATGCAGCCTGACCTCGGGGATGTGTTCAGAACAAGACTCCCTGAGCTTTGGCTGACGGGTGGGTTTTAGTCATGCCATGTTAACACTTTCTATTTATTGGGGTTTTTTTCCACTTGTGATTAATGCCACTTTACATGGTCTGTCCTTCGTCACCAGCAAGGTTATGAGTAGGGTAGAACTGTCTCTAACTTTTTAAATATTTATTTATTTTGCTTAAAAGCATTGGATAAACTAGTGAAAAAACTACTAGGTATTCTCCACCACCAAGTCAAACAGAGCAGGTAAGGGCTGCCTAGTATCTTCAGTGATTCCTTGGGTCATACATGTAAATGATACATATATACATATATATATATTTATGGGTAGGTCCTATTAAAAAGCAAAAGAGGAAAGATGTCTTAAAGGTTGAAAAAGCAACCTGTTTTAAAAACACAAAGCGTTGTCAAGTTGCTATCTTGTTAAGGGATGGGGGAAGTTGCTATCTTGTTAAGGGATGGGGGAATGGAACCTGTGTGCAGTCAGCCTGCACTAATGCTGCCAGGCAAATCAAAATTCTAGCATCTTGCTATTCCTGGCATGTTTTAATAAGCAAATAGCAGCTAAATAATGTATTGACAGTCAGGGCAATTACATACACACAATTTATAGCAACATAATGGTTTTGAGGGTTTTCCCTCCCTCCCCTTTTGGAATCAGATTAACTGGTGGAACACTACATATGGGAAGCCTAGAAATAATGTTCTAGAAGGGAAAACAAATAAAAAAGAGGCAGAACTAGCAGTTTGCTATATATGGGGGGAAAAAAATCACGTAGACTTGCAAACTGGTAAATAAATGATCTAGCTGGTAAGTATCCTTTGATTTTTATTTTTGTAGCTTCACAGAAAAAGCATAGCCTACTTGTGCAGGTGAGATACAAACTGAAAAGAATGCTGTTGTGTTATGTCCACTGCTACTGGCTCTAACAACTTGCCCTCCCCCTTTTTTTTTTGTATGTGTGTCTTTAATCATCTTGTTTCGTGGAATGCATCCAGAAGCATCTCTGTAAACCTCGCCAGGGCACTGGCAGTTTGGAGGTCAGTGTCCGCCTTGATCTTTGAATATAGCTTCGATCTGATCATTGAACGGATTCTCCTTTCCAAGGACTTGAGGCCATTCACGTAGTGCATTCTGCCACGTAACTCCTGTTCCAAGGGCCGCAGCAATCTGCAAACAGCACAAATACTATCAGTTTCTCGTGCCTCTATAACTTAGTGCTTCATACCAGTGTTTAGGAGACCCCACCATACAGGATTTTCTCTGTAGAGCCATAGGATGGACCATAACCTCTAACCAAAGAAAATACCCCGTTCTGGCTGCTTGAACAGAAGGAAAAATCCTTTTAACGGTAAAAATAAGGCAAGGACCATATATCTGCACCTCCTCGACCAGTC